AAAAATTATTTGATTTATAAATATTTATTAACAAAATAATCAATAAAATTCACATAAAAAGCTGTTTTTTAATAATTGGGAGGTTTTTTCAATTATTTTATCTGAAAAATATTGCTTTTAGAACATGAAAAAGAATTAAAAAAAACGATATATGTGATCGAAATTTATGAGAATCAATTTTAATTAGTTTTTATTTCAATTTGACTTATATATATATATATTGATCGAAATTTATAAATATTTATTAACAAAATAATCAATTTTGATCGAAAATATCAAGGATCAAATTATAAAAGATTGTATAATTTGTATATAACTCGCCTTAGGAAAAAGCAAAAATTACACAAAAATCGAGCTTCAATAAATAGTATTAATGGTTCGGTAGCTACAATAAATGAACGAGTGAACTGGAAGTAAGCATGGGGACTTTGGTTTATTTAATTACACAAAAATATACATGTATATAAATTATGTTTATAATTTATATATTAGTTTTTGAAAAAAAAAAAATCTAGACGTTGACTTACATTATGGTAATTTCTTATCCTATATTTTTCATAATTTTCCTTAACATTCAATTTGTAAATGCAGTGTCTTAACTTATAATCTCATATAATAAGTTATGAACAATCAAGAAGGATATCATCTACTATTATTACATTTCTTTTAATTCTTAGGCTAATATTTTAAAAAAATATTTATTTTTAAATGTATACTGTTGATGTAAGATTGTGATTTTTTTAAATAAAGTTTCAATTGTTGTATACATTATTCTGAAAATATTGAAAAATAAACATTTTCTATTCTTGCTTATCATGAGTTCTAAGAAGACTCCAACATACAGTACAAGGCTCCATAGAACTTCCATTTAAGGGGAAAAAAAGTCAGCGACTCAGCAAAGCCAAAACTTGTAGTATTGTCTATTGGGAAGTGGTATCCCTATATATATTGACCTGTAATAAATAATTTGGACGTCATTATATATTTTGACCTACAACATTTAAAAATGAAAACCCTTAGGCGTACTGGTATCATTTGAATTGGAGTTTGTTAATTTTAAATTGGTTCATTCAATATTGCATTATTATACAATAACCAGAAGCGTGCGTAGCATGGTGTCCCAAATGAACAATTATATATGGGTCATTCCATTTGCACCATTTTGCCTAAACTTTTAGGTGCCTAACCTCATATTCTATTTGGAGTAGAAAAGTGTTGGCATTGTTACATGGTTTTGTTCTCTCCTAGAGGAAAATACGAAGCTAGCTTGAAGACCAGCATAAGAACATGATGCATCATAAAAACATGGTCACATGGACAATTTCAATATTTGGCTTGATTTAAAAATAAAAATACAGCTAACATTTGCCTTAAATGTGTGGGATAATGGACTGCTGTCTCATCTTAAAAACTCCTTTGAATCAAGATCGGCAGAAAATAGTAGAAAAAAGTGGCTTGCCTCTGCTGAAAACAGATTACTTTTTTACATGGGAAAAGTACTCACCTTTAGACGAGATAAACAAAAGTGGTGAAACATCAATTTCTTGGTTAGTAGTCGAAAAAAGATTATCACACATAATAGAAAGACAAAGCAGCGAAGCAGATATTGTATAAGATTTTGGATGGTAAAGAGGCAATAAAATAGCCAGCAATATTATAAGCTAAGCAAGTAAGATTAAAGCATGGACCACATCAAAGAAGAACCATCACACTTATTAAAAAAACGACCAAGCAAAACATAAAAAATATTATAGTCTTAATCCCCGAAACCCCCAACACCCCCCCCCCCTCAAAAAAAAAAAAAAAAAAAAAACTATATTATGTATTCAATATATAGATACATAATATGTTTTATGTTCAATATTGCTTAATGTTATGGTTTGAATATATATAGAAAAAGAGGTTTTGGGTTATATAATAGGATAGCCATCATAAAAAAAATTATAGTCACAAATTTTATTTCACTAAAAAATATCTGGATCCATAGTTGTTAAGCTAAACCTCTTGTTGAATATATAATATATTATGTATTATATATAATAATATATAATATGTTTTATATTTAATTTCTCTATCTCAAATTGTTAATCTCATTTGTTTTTTTTTTTTAAAAAAAAAAACATTACTATATCTATTCCAAAGTGTTAGTCTCTTTTGACTTTTCTTATAGTTTAAGAAAGTTATTACTCCTTCTATCCCAAAGTGTTAGTCCTTTTTAACTTTTTATACAATGTATGAGAAACATTAATTATTATGACATATCAATTTTTTTATTCTTAATTTTTTTTTCTTGAAACACCCTTCCATCCTATCAGATTTCGTTTTAAAATTTTTTAAAAGATATAGAGATCTTTAAACTCTTCTAAAATCAAGATGCTAAATTAAAATATTTATTCTTCCCAAATTTAAATTAAAAAAAACTTTTCAAAACATTTAAAAATTATTGACGAATCCTAAAATTTTCATAATTTTTTTTTAAAAAAAAGTTTTAAAATCAAGATGTCAAATAAAAATTTTTGTCTCTTCCATTTAAGTTGGAAAAATTTTACAATAATCTAAAGATTATTAGGCCTTTCTAAATTTCTCATGAAATTTTATGTCAAACCCAAAATCAAAGCACCAAATCAAAAATTTTTCGTTCCTCCTAAATTTAAGTTGGATTTTTTCTTGAAAGGTCTAAAAATGATTAAAGAATCCTAATTTTTCTACAAAATGAATAGTTTCCATATGATAATTTTTTTTTTGAATTTTTTATGTTAAAAATATTTTTCTATATATGTAAAATAAAATTTTAAAGAATATTGATTTTCTAGTTAGTAAAAAAGAAGAAATGCAAGAAATAATTGGTTAGAAATATTTTTAAAAAGATAAATTATTTAAAATTTTGAGCAAATAATTATTTTGGAACGGATATAGATAAATCAAAGAATGGCATTCTTATTGGAATAGAAGGAATAATTGTTATGACATATTAGCTTTCAGCTTTTTTACTTTTACTTTCTTAAAATACTTTTCTATCTTGTTAAATTTGAGTTCCAAAATTTTTAGAAAGATAATGATATTTAAAAAAAAAAACCAATATTTAAAATTTTGACATATATATATATATATAAGGTTTACCTTATAATTGGTTTACGTACGAGTTTTAATTTTTTTATTGAGACCCTCGATTATTTTTTAGTTTGATTGAAACCCTCTACTCTTACAAATTTATTGATTGAGACCCTCCTTCATTATACCGTTAACTATTCATCCTATGTGGTAATTAAAAATAACGATAACCAATTAAACAACAACATATGACATAATGGGTTTCAAATATCAATGTTGTCTGTCGAAATTAAAAAAAAAGATCTAAAAATATTTTAAATATAAGGATTTTCTTCTTCACCCAAACATAATAAAAAAAAAAAAAGAAGCTAAAAAATGTAGGTAGGAGGACCGCCACTATTCATCTTCATCCCCATTCATCCAAACCATTAGAGAAAAAAAACCCTTGCTTCACCCATCCTAAAAATCTCACCTAGACATCCTCTTCCTTACTAAAACCCGAAATCAACCCATTTACCCATTTCATACATTACTCCATAGCCACCAACTCCACCAACCATTATTTTTGGCAAAACCACCCTCTACAATCAGTTATTGCCATAGAAATCACACTTCTATAGACCCATCTCTTTGCCGATTTGAGAACTCCACCAAACACTCACCAATCATCCCTTGCTTTCTTATCACACCATCATCACCAATAGGAGATCTAAGGATCATGGGAAATTGGCAACAATATACAAGTCGGATAAGAGAAATGAAATGGTGAAAAAGGGATATAAGATTCTCGAAAACTGCGAAGATCAATGGAGTGATTTTTGGGATCCTCCATGCCAAATCGCTTATGTCCTTGCTTTGTTGTCTCAATTTTTTTTCATATCATGAATAATTATAATTTATGGAAGGAGGTTAGGTTGCTTGATTTTTTAAAAACAAGTAAAGAGATTTGCAAGGGGAGAGAGAGAGAGAGAGAGAATTCTAAATAGAAAAAAATATATTTGGTTTTGGAAGATGGGCGAGGTAAATTTATCTTTTCATTATATTTTTTTTTAATTTTAAACATTAATTTATTATCAAGATTTTTTTTTTTAATTTCGACAATAAGATCTGATATTTAAAGCCTATCATGCCACGTGTTGTTGTCCGATTAGTTATTGTTATTTTAAATTTACCACGTAAGATAAATAGTTAACAATATTATAATAGATGGTCTCAATCAACAAATTTATAAGAATAAATGCTTTCAATCAATCTAAAAAAATAATAAACGGTCTCAATAAAAAAAATAGAATTGTATATGGATTAATTATGAGATAAACCCTATATATAAATAGAAAGAAGATTAACCTTTTTTTAAACTACCTTTCTATCCTATTAAATTTGAGTTCCAAAATTTTTAAAAAGACAATGATATTTTAGAAAAATACCGTATTTAAAATTTTGATAACATATATAAATAGAAAGAAGAACCATCCTTACTAAAACAAAAGGAGAAATATTTTTGTGATTTGAATACAAAATATATTTAATATAGAGTGTTATTATCTTTTACAATCTATTACAAACGAGGACCACTCCATGAAATCACTTCTCAAATATGAAATTTCACAAAAACACTTCCGTTTCTCTTGTATATAATATAGAAGTGGCAGACAAAGGATGTCGAAATGGATCACAACGTCAAACAAGAAATTGAAGGCTTTTTAGGTGACGTCAAAAAAATAATAACACCCTTAAGTCAATTTTCATTTATTTATCTATATCCCTTAAAAAATAATCCAAATTAGCGACTATTTAAACCCCGTAAACTTTAGCCTCCAAATTCAGACCAAGAAACACACACACAGCCAAAGAAAAAAGAGCTCTTCAAAAGAGAGAGAGAGTAACCGGTTACCGGAATATTTGACTTGAGAATCCAAAAGGAAAAGAAACTCAGTTCGGCGGCGAGGATGATTGCTTACTTGGAGAGATGTATCCACGAGAACGATAGCGAATCCAGACCAAACGATGACGAGAAAGACCAGCTTCCAAATATATGTCACTCTCTAGACCTCCAAGGCACCATCGATTGTGTGGCTACCGGTTTAGCCAGTAAAGATTTCGGCGGCATGTACACATGCAATCCTCTAGCTCTAATCAGACCTGCAAGTCCCGATGACGTGGCACGCGTCGTTAAAGCAGCTTACCGGTCACCCAATTTGACGGTTGCGGCAAGAGGTAATGGACACTCAATCAACGGGCAAGCCATGAGCGACCGAGGACTTGTCATGGACATGAGGTCCACGGGAGGAAACCTTTTTGAGGTTGTAAGAATCAATGGGGAAACCTTCGTTGATGTGTCGGGAGGGGCATTATGGGAAGATGTGTTGAAACAATGCGTTTTGGAGTATAAACTAGCTCCAAGGTCATGGACTGATTACCTTGGTTTAACGGTCGGTGGCACGTTATCTAACGCCGGTGTAAGCGGACAGGCTTATCGGTTTGGTCCACAAACGAGCAACGTAGCAGAGTTGGATGTTGTTACTGGTAAAGGAGAAGTAATGACTTGCAATAAAAATGAAAACAGTGAATTGTTTTTTGGTGCACTTGGTGGTCTTGGCCAGTTTGGTATCATTACCAGAGCTAGAGTTTTGGTCCAGTCAGCTCCAGACATGGTGGGTATCGATTTCTTTCCCTCTTTCTTAATTTGGTTTTGCAAAATCTAGTCACACAAAAGATGTGCGTTAATTTTATTAGTAATTTTTTTGTTGGTGCATGAATGACACGTTTACGTTACGTAATCCTAGTTGAGTTCTTAGTAATGCTGTTGTTCTTTTTGTTAATGATGTGTCTGAAATTAGGTGAGATGGATAAGGGTGGTTTACACTGAGTTTGAAGACTTTACTCGGGATGCCGAGTGGCTGGTGACTCGGCCAGAGGGAGAGTCATTCGATTATATTGAAGGGTTCGTGTTTGTGAACAGTATCGATGACCCTGCAAATGGGTGGCCATCTGTACCGTTAGACCCGGATCAAGGGTTCGATCCAAGCCGTATCCCTCGAACCTCTGGCTCCGTTCTTTACTGCCTTGAAGTAGCTCTGCATTACCAAAAGACTGACCACCCCTCCACGGTGGACAAGGTAACTGCTCTTTAGTAACTTTAGTAACCCGCCAATCTGCTGCATCCATTTTCACAGTAAAAGGATCCAGCCTAATTCGGGGCTTTTCGATTGATAGCATATAGGTACATAGGGTGTACCGAAGAGTTACTGAAACTTAGAAACTGTGGGCCATGTGGGGCAGTTATGACCGAGTTTTGACCTAGCTGGTTGCTAAGTAGGACCCATTAATAGATGTTGACCACGAGTTGTCGTAGGTCCCACATTTATAAGGTGGGTCCGGAAACCGAACAGTGAAAAAGTCAAAAGAGCACGAACTCAATTACACGTGTACAAAGCTAAGCTTAAAAGGACGGCTAACTTCTCGCCCTCCGGATCATAATGACACCAACAATTTACTTTCCTACTTATTACTCCATGACTACTGCCGATACCAACACAGGGAAGGAACAAAAATATTTTTCTTTTTTATTTTTAAATGAAAAAAAGAAAAGCAATAATTATAGTATATTTTCGTCACCTACTTCCAAGTTGAAACTGACCATACGGTATAATGTATCTCTCATTGGATTTTCTGACACAAGAAAGCATGGAAACACCCGTGTAATCAGTGCATAATTACGAGAATGACACTGTACTTTGCTTCCAGTTACTTTTTATGGCTTCTTCTACGGTTCCTTTTGTAATATGGAATTTCTGTAAGGGCTAAAATTGTAAGTAAATATTCTTATGCTGATCATCGAGGGTTTGCTGACGTTTTGGTCCCCACGGTTTCAGAAATGGCAAAAAAAGACATCATTCTCTGTAGATTATAATATTATGTCTCTTTGTCCTTCCAAATGACGCAGTTGCCCCTCATTTTGATGCCAAATTTTAAATTAAATGCCCATGATTTTACTTTCTTCTCATCTTTTCTTGTTTGATTGTGTTGTAGGCTGTAAACAGCTTGCTTGGACAGCTAGGATTTAACGAGGATGTGAAATTCCAAGTGGATGTGAGCTACGTGGGGTTTTTGTTGCGTGTGAAGCATGCAGAGGAATCTGCTAGAGCAAATGGAATCTGGGACGCTCCTCACCCTTGGTTGAATATGCTGGTGTCCAAGAGGGACATAGCTGATTTTGATCGTGTGGTGTTCAAGAGGATGTTGAAAGAAGGTGTTGGTGGGCCCATGCTAGTCTACCCTCTACTGCGAAGCAAGTAAGTAATATTATTATTATTATTATTATTATAGCCCATTAATTTGTGTGCTTCTCTAGTAGAGTGACCCCATTGTCATTTAATTCAGTTTGTTATCTTTGTTCCCTCGATGTCTTTACACGTGTAAATTAGATAAGAAATCTCAGGTTGCTGTGAGAGTGACGAGGTTTGAAAACACAATCTCAGGTCCATGTGGGGTTAGAGCCACTTGGCACCCAGACTGTAGATCTTCTATTTGCTTGACTATTTATAAAACACATTAAAATCAAGGTCGTTAAGATTTTTGTGGTACGTTCTTGGGAACAATTTTAGCCAATCATTCCAAAAGTACACTATTAATTCCATAAAGTTTTAGAAAAATATTATGCACAGTTGCTACTAGCAGATCCTATCCTATCCTATCCTATCAAAATTAGAATCTCCGAAAAGAAGTCTGCTAAGTTCATTTTCTTAGAGAATACATGTTGCAAAGCTTTCGTACTATATATATATATATATATATATATTACTAATTGTGGGGACAAAGATATGGTGGGGCCTAAATGACTGGTATTAAGTTTTTCTTTCTTTTTTTTCAGGCATATTAATCTTCTTCCCTACTTGTTTATAAATGGTACGAAGTAAAGGAATGGGTGATTAGGTAAATCCAGTACCATTTGCGTTGACGGTGGGTGCTAGGAAGAGGGACTTTTTTTTCATTTTGGGATGGGATTAAAGCGAAAGTAGAGAAGCAAGGATAAATTCGTCATTGAGGTTTCCCTTTTTGCGGAAAATGAGATTTTTGAATGATGTAACATTCACGGTCAGTCTAGCTATGCGGGAAAACGACAAGGATATTTATTCGCCAACCCATCTATAATGACACCATAATTTGTCTGGGGTCCGACAACGATTTTTTGTTTGACTAAATTACCCCTTTAGTTGGCATCTTGATGCGTGCAAGGGGTGGGGTCTAAATCGTCTAGTCAAAATCCTACCAGCCACGCCATTCACCACCTCCACCTGGGGAAACTTGGTCTTAGAAGAAAGAAATATATACTAGAAATCTTTAAAAAGAAAATTGGATTCGTTTTGTCCAAGCTCTTTTAAAGGAGGAGGCTGTGACAGATAATCTTATCTATGATTTTTTTTTTTTTGAAATAAAATGGATATATAGCTATCCAGCTAGTGTTGTTATTGTCTTTGTTGAAAAGAGGGGTTTTTTTTTTTCAAAAAGAAGTTAAAAAAGTATAGTTCAAAGTTTATGGTTCAAGTTCATTTCAAGAAGATATGATTGTATTGGCCATAGTTTTTAACATCTGACACTTGAGTTTGCTTCAATCGGTGAGGTACAATTTAAGTGTCCTAGCCCTTCCCCATGCCCGTTTTGTTTTCCTCTCCCTTGGAATCCAATGTCCAATAATGTTGCTTTTTTCAGCATATACTAAAAAGTTGGTTGTTTTTGTCACTTTGGAGCTATAAAGCAAAAGGCAAATGAGTGGTTATATATATATATATATATATATTGTGTGTGCGCCCTCGTGTGTGGCGCATGGCATGGCATATCAATTATTCCAAATTTAAATGCTTGTCGTGCGCCTTTTTCTTGATCTTGCCTAATTTTGAATGGATTTAATTTCATCCAATTAATTGTCCTTTTAACTTACTCTCTAACTCTTTGTGCATTAGGTGGGACAGCCGGACATCTGTGGCATTACCAGCAGAAGGGGAAATCTTTTACTTAGTGGCATTGCTCCGATTCACCATGCCATACCCAAAGGGCCCTTCTACCGAAAAATTGGTGTCTCAAAACAAAGAGATTGTCCAATTTTGTGTGAAGGAAGGTTTCGATTTCAAATTATACCTTCCTCACTACCAATCTGAAGAGGAATGGAAAAGACACTTTGGAAATCAATGGTCGAGATTTGTTAAGAGGAAGGACAGTTTTGATCCCATGGCCATCCTTGCACCAGGGCAAAAAATTTTTAAGAGGATCTCCCAATCCTAGCCAGCTAGATCGATTGATAATATCGATTGGTTTTACGTCTCAATTGTAATTTTCCTAAAATCTATTCTGCTCCTGGCTAGCTAGTTCTCATCAATTATAGTGCTCTTGCATGCCTCCAATATTGCAATTAATTAGTTGATAAACAATATTGTTGGAGCAATGTAAAGGAATATTTTGAGAGAAAAGATTAAAAATCAAACTTGATCCCTTTTATAATTGAATTGGTTATCCTCTAAAAGATGAACCCAGCAACAAAAAGCTAAATTAACAAAAAGATATTCAAAGACTTTGCCTTCACAAGTTGTTCTTCATGATTTGACTAATTGTAATCTTAGCTTAGTAAAGCGGCCACGATCATTATCCCAACTTAACAATCGCTTCCTAAAAATAAATATTATACAAACGATAATGGCTTCCATGGTTTGCGTCTCTGTCATGCTATAATGCCTTCAATCCAATCGATATAGACCATCTCCTAATCAGTCTTTGATGTTTTTGGTTCTGCATTTTTTGACTCACTGTGTTGCAATTCAATGGTCAAATATTCTGTTTTTTCAATCACAAGGAGATAAAAAGGTGATAAGGCCAATTAGGCTTGGATTCTTTGGTAGCATCCGATTCTCTTTGCTTGCAAAAGATCAAATACAAAAGCTTTCACTTTTTTGTTAAAACCATTTTGGTTCTTCTTTCTCCAATCACCTCCGGCTTTTGTCTGGTTTCATGCAAATCAAATCTACTTGGCTTCTCCGCTTCTAAACTTTTTTCCTTTCTTTCCGCTAGCTCTTATAAAAAGCAGAGAAAAGATAAATTTGAGTGGGTCCAATATAGAAGCAATTATAAGATCATGATTTCTTGTAAGAAGCCCTGACCAATCAAGGCTCGTTCTAACCCATGCAAAGTCCTCGACGATCTTTGGGCTTTGGTAAACGTATCATGCACGAACGTGTTGTACCCTTTAAGAATTAAAGCAATCTGGAGGGACACCAATTTTACTTCTCCTAGTAAGGTGGTCCAAGTTCTCAAACATTAATTAGATTAACATTATCGGAAATTACTCATCTTTTGCTTTTTGAGTAGTTTTTTTTTCCTTTTTCATGTAATTGTTATTGTTATATGCACGAGGTAGATATGTGGTTTCCTCTCCTTCTCTTTGGATTTGTGATCCATCGTGTTAGGAGTAAATTATAAATTAGTTCTTTGTTTTGAGAAACTAATTAATTAATCTTTTTTGTTTAAAAAGTAATCATATAGCCCTTATTACTAAATTATTATCAGATCTGTCCAAGTAATACATAATATCTAAAATAATATTTTCATCAAGCCGAAAGATAATGAATTAAATGTCACAAAATAACTATAATTTCTCCTTCATTCTCTTATATGGTTTATATTCTTGAGAATTAAGGGTCATAAAAATGACATGAAAGATGAATTTTTATTTTATTATAATGATGGAGATGGTTGAGGAGAGAAAAAAGAAGTGAATAAATGATTTAAGGGTCACGAAAATGGCATGGAAGATGAATTTTTATTTTGCTATGATGATGGAGATGGTTGAAGAAAAAAAGAGAGTGGGTGAAGGAGTTAAGAGTCACGAAAATAGTATAAAAGATGAATTTTTGCTTTATTATGATTATGAAGATGGTTGATGATGTATAGATAAAGGGAGTGGGTGCATGAATGAAGGAGTTAAGGGTCACGAAAATAATTTAAAAGATGATTTTTTTTTTTGCTTTATTATCATCATAGAGATGGTTGATAAGAGAAAAATTATTGAGTTAAGAAAAGAAATAAGGCATAGAAAGAAAAAAAATTGAAATAAAAAATACTACAATAAGGACACTGCATCACCACTTTAATGAAAAACTAATGAAATCACTAATTATTGACGAAATTAAAACATGAGAACTAAATAATTAGTTTTTAAAATGAACAAGACTAATTAATTTGTTTCTCAAAATGATAGAGACTAATTTATAATTTATAATTTACTCAACATTAGAGAGAACTCTCAATTGTTACTTTATATATATATATTTAAAAAAGTTAATGAGCCTTCTAACTCAATTGTCATGAATATCCCTTCTATGTCAATTTTTTATATATTAGTAAAATACGTTTTTGAGTGTTAAAACTATTGTGAGGCGAAGAAGGCTTTGATTCAGTTATATTTTCATTATGCCCATCATTAAAATTAAGTATTTTTTATTGTTTGCTATTGTATCTGGTTAAAAAGAGGAAAAATGAAATAATTAATAAATTGTTATAAAATAAATAGAAATAATAGGAGAATTGAAAGAAAGGATGACAAGAAAATGAAATCACTATAATATGAATACAAGTGATAAGAACTTCAAAGTTTCTCTTATTTTCTCTAGAAAACTTGTATACCAATTAATGAATAATCAAGCCTATTTATAGGCTTCAAATTTGAGAAGAGAATTGGAAGGAACTATGAATAATCAATTGCATCACCCTTTCAATTTCTCATAGTGAATGATGAATTGAATCATATTAAGAATCAAGAGTAGTGAGGATATGAAAAGTAGATGAACATGATGATGGACATTCATTATTTCATAACACTCCGCCTTGAATGTCCATTGTACAAGGAACATGCCTTGTTAAAACCTTACTAAGAAAAAAACCTATTGGAAAAAAATTCCTAATGAAGGAAAAAGAGTACAATATTCGTTGTACACATTAATCTCAATGTTGGCCTCCTCCTATTGAAAATATCATTTGAAATTTCTAAGATGATGTATTTCAATCTTATGAATCATTTTCTTAAAAGTTGTGTTAGGTAATGCTTTAGCGAATAAATCTACTAGATTGTCACTTTGATGTATCCTTCTTTCAATGGAATTATGCAAGCGAGCATTATCCTCATATGATATTGCTGAAACTTCTTTTACTAATAGATAAACTACATGTCTCTCGAATATGATGGATCGTTAATCTTAGCCAAACACATTCTCGACTTGCCTTTTGAATTGATATTTCTACATGATTTGAAGATGTGACAGTTATAGTTTGCTTCATAGAATGCCAAGATATAGTTGTATCTCCATATGTAAATATATAACCGAGTTATAATCGAGCTTTGTGTGGATCAAATAAATAACCTACATCCGTATAACCAATTAATCTTGTCTTTGATTTATTTGAGTAATATAAGCCCATATCAATTATTCCTTGAAGATAACATGCTATATATTTAACTTTATTTCAATGTCTCCGTATTGAAAAAAAATTATGACTTGTTAATAAATTTATTGAAAATACTATATCGAGTTGAGTCTTATTAGCAAGATATATCAATGTACCGGTGGTATTAAGATATGGTACTTTAGGATCAAGTAGTTCTTCGTTATCTTTTTGAAGTCAAAAATGGTCTTTTTGGATATCAAGTGAATGAACGACCATTGGGCTATTCAATGAATAATCTTTATATAGAATCATTGTAGAACTTTTTTTTTCTTTTAACAAATTGATCGATGAATAAAAGTTTCATTCTCCGAGTGCTCGAACCGTAGGTCGAGATAACATTTTTTTCTCAAGGTATTCACATCAAATTCTCTTTTTAGATAACTTATGACACTTGGAATCTCTTCAAGAGTTCCAATAATATTCAAGTCATCAACATATATAACAAACCCCTTTTCAAATAAAAATATATGAACAAATAAGGTTTTTTTTTTTTTACATAAATTTCTTTCAATAATTATTGAAGTAATTATATCATATGCACATGTGTTAGTAATAAACGAGTAGATATAATAAAATATAAAAAAGTATAATGTAAATTGAATTTCTAAAAACTAAAATAATAAAAAAAATACTAAAATAATCCTAATAGATATCTTTATAATTTAATTGAATTCTTATCTCGAGAATATGTATTACATGCTTCGGCATGTTAAGTCCTTCTAGGACTTTCATATTGATATCATTTGAAATGAACAAGTAAGCCGTGATCACATTCATTAAATGCATGCATATGAAGGTCTTTCATATATTTTACCGAGCTAATGAGATAACAAAATATTATTGCATCCATTATAAGAGAATATGTCTCTTCATAGTCAATGCCGATTCTTTACGAAAACTCTTATGTTAAAAGTCTTGCTTTGTGTCTTACAATATTATCTTTCTTACTTCGTTTTTGCATAAATACATATTTGTATCCTACTAGCTTAACATCTTCAATTGTTTTAGCTATAGGTTAAAAAAAAAAACTACTCTTTTATAATAGAATATAATTACGTCCGGATTGTTTTTTTCATTTAGGCCAATCATCTATATGTCGACATTCTTCAACAAATTTTGGCTCGGGATCCTTATTTTCATTCAAAACATCAATTGCAACGTTACATGCAAAAATATTATCAATAAATATTTCCTTTTGGTCCTTTTTTCTCCTTATATTGACATAATTTATCAAAATCTTGATTTTTCTCAAGCATTTGGACTTCTTTTGGAAACATATTATCAGACATATCTTGGACCATTTTGTAAATATTTTTCATCTTGCCCTTTTCTTTTAGAGATTTTTATCTTTAGATATGACGCCTCGCGTCCGGACCCATTCCCGATAGCATCCCAAGTGAAGGAGACACTACGGTCATACATGACTTCATATAATAAAGCTTAACGGAACCAAACATGACTTATTTTCATGTTCTCAAAAAGGAATTTGATCCAATAAACATCCATGACTTGCAATGTAAAAGACACCCAAATGACGTTGCTTTAAAACTTAAACTATATAAATGTTTGAACTAAGCATTTAAACTACACTTTATCAACAAATAAACAGGCAAAGTTTAGATATACAAAAGACCCTAAAAGCCACCTATGGCTAACATTCAAACTAGACAAAAGGGTCACCTCACAAGAGTTTGTTCAAGGGGCTCCGGTTGCATCGACAACATCCATGAATTCCTCACCTACACCACAAGACATAACATAATGAGCTAACGCCCAATAAGCATGGTCAT